TCCTCCAATATGGTTAAGCAAAGCAAACAAACAAAAAATAACAAAATACATTATTTCCCAGTGTCTTGGAAATATCGCAAATGCTACTAGAGTAGAAGTTTCGTTTTTCAGTGACAGACAGAAGAACCACACTTAGAAACAATTATTACCCTTCATGTTTTAACACATACACATGAGACATACACACATAGGTCTGCACACCTGCACATCTGCAATACAATGTTTTTGAGTGATGTACAAGGAAACAAAATATCATTTGACAAATACTGGGTTAGTGTGAGGGGTAGAGGTCATTAGCTGTACACATTTCATGTAATATGAATTACAAGCAACAAGGCTCCCAGCTAAAATGATTTTTAGAAAGTGATTCCATAGAAGGAGCTGTGATCCTACGATGTTCTGCCCCAGTATCACCTCATGAGGTATTTAAAATGCTACCCTCAGGTCTCTCTTCCATGATTCTGATATAGAGCAACATGTGGGTTTTCTGAGGTGATTCTTGCCGACACTGAAGTTGCAGACATTGGTCTAGGCCAGAGGTGGCAAACTTAGGGCGCGAGTTAGCACTGAAAGTTCTGAAAGTTTGTGCCACCACTGGTCTGGGCTGTGTGTCAAGAGAAACAGAAGTGCTGATGCAAGGTGGGCACACAGCATGGATCTGCTGTCCCGGAAGTGACCATCTGCTTTTTCCAGGTCCATTCACAACTTCTGTTCACGTCATAGTACTTTCTGAGAGCAGGCGGTTATTACAACAGTGAATGGTTTCCTCCTCCAAGTGTTTGGCTTTCACTATTGCCACCTGTGTCCCATCCCATTAGGATCTGTGGATGACGCATGGCTCTTGTCACGGACTGACATACACTGGAGCAGAAACTCGACAGGATGGTCTAAGCCAAAGCAAAAAATAAACAAGCAAACGGAATGAACCAATCTTTCTAGAAAATTCCCTGGAACAAAACCAACTATGTGGAGTGTTTTCTCAGATGCAAAGAAAGACAAGACCCAGGGGCCACCTTGACCACTGATGGAGGTCAAGTTGACTGGTCAGGGGCTGGGAAACTGGTGGTGGGTTTGGGCCTGGCTCCTTTGACTTGATTTCCTAGAATGTGTTCCATAGAATACTGATCTCACTTGATGCTCCATGAATAAAAGATCTGATAGTTAAACCACTTTTTAAAATGTTTTATTGTAAAATAATTCTAGACTCGTAGGAAGTTGCAAAATAATACAGATAGGCCTGCGTATCCTTTCCCCAACTTTTCCTATGAGACATTATACATAGCAATAGTAAAATATCAACCAGAAAATTGGCATTGGTGTAATACTATTAACTTGGCTACAGGCTTATCTAGTTTTACCATTTTTTACATGCATTCATTATTAAGTGTGCGTAGTTCTATCACTTTTATCCCACGTATAGATTTGTGTAATGTCTTTTGCTGTAATAAGTTTTTTGAAATCTAAGCATGTACCATAGTTTTTTATTAGCTCTTATATTCTTGGACATTTATCCAGGAAAAGTGAAGGGCTATATTCACATGAAACCTATACACACAAGTGTTCATAGAATCTTTACATACAACAGACTAAAACCAAAACAACCCAAGTGTTCTTCAGTGGCTGAAGAGTGATGCCTCCATACCATAGAACATTACTCAACATTATAAAGGAACAAAGTTGGCCAATGCAACAACTCAACCAATCTTAAGAACATTACACATAGTGAAAAAAACCTGGATCTTAAAGGCTACATTCATGTGGTTCTACTTATATAACATGCTTGAAATGACAAGTTAGTGAGCTGAGGAGCAAATTAGTGATTGCTAAGGGAGAGACATGCAGAGCTGAAGGCAAGGGAGTCCCATCAGGGCAGTGATGACGAATGTTTTAGAGCTTTCAATGATACAGTGTCCTATAGGCTCAGCACCCCTGCTTTGGGGTAATGGAATAGCCCTATATCTTGCTTGTATGATAGTTGCATGTGGAGTTTTATAAGGAATGACCAGTGCACCATCTTACATTCCCACTGGGACATATAAGAAATCAGTTTCTTTGCATCAGCTCCAGGGTTATCACTGTTTCCTTAGTGGCTATAACAGTGTATTAATGTCATGTTGTAATTGTAATTTGCATTTCCTTAGTAGCTAATCATGCTGAGTATCTTTTCATGTTCTTATTTTTTTATTTTTATCTCCTCTTTGGTGACATGTCTGTTCATGTCCTTTGCCCATTTAATAACTGTTATTGTTTGCTGTTGGTTTTTGAAAATGTTTTTACATATTCTAAATTCTAATCCTTTGTCAAACATTTGATTTGCAATTACTTTCTTTGGGGTTGTCTTTTCCTTTGCCTAACTGGGTCATTAGTAGCACAAGATTTTTCAATTTAGTTTTTCTGTTATGGATTGTACTTTGGTGTCATTTCTAATAACCTTTCTCCTATTCCTTAATCCTAAATATGTTTTTCATGTGTTCTTCTGAAAATTTGCTGTTCTTTTTAAACATCTGAATCTGTTAAAGTATAACATATTGTTCTAGTTTTACTTAATTCCATAATACATTTCAATTAATTTCTGCATAAAGAGTAAGAGGTTGAGGTTCATGCTCAATGTTTTTCACATATTAGGGGCTAATTAAAATCACAAAATTGAAGACATTTACTTTTAAAAAATTAATTAATTATATTGGTGTAAGTATACATTGTAATGACATTCATCATGGAAAATTTGCACCTTTCCATAATCCATCTTGGTTCTTACTTTTTCCCCATTCCCCTGCCTTCCCTTCAACTCCTCCACCCCTCCCTATCTACAAAGACTTTGTTTTCAGTTTTTCTTTTTTTTATATTGATTCCATTCTCATCTCTTCCCCTACCCCTCCCATTGCTCCTTCCCCTTTGCATCTTTTCTTCCTATTTCACATTATCTATTATACCTTTTAGTCCTTATTTACACTTTCAGTTTTTCACACTAGAGAAACTTCCATATTTACTCAAATGTGTCTTATTTATTTTACTTAAGAGCATAGCCTCAAGATGCATCCATTTAGCTGTAAATGTCTCTAGTTTCTCATTCTTTATGGCTGAGTAATACTTCATTTTATTAAAAAAATCACATCTTCTCTATCCAGTCTCCTGTTGATGGGCAATTGGGCTGTTTCCAAGTTTTAGCTATTATGAATTGTGCTGCTATGAACATGGGTGCTTGATTTTCACAGAGGTTGTACCAGTCTACACTCCCACCAGCAGTGGAGCAGGGTTCCTTTTTCTCCACAGCCCCACCAGCATTTGTTATTGGTTGATTTCGTGATAGCAGCCATTCTTTCTAGGGTGAGGTAGAATCTCAGTGTTGTTTTCATCTGCATCTCTCGAATGACTAGTGATACTGAGCATTTTTTCATATATTTATTTGCTATTTTTACTTCTTTGAGAAATGTCTGTTCATTTCAGATGCCCATTTTTGGACTGGGTCTTTAAATTTGGGAGGTCTGATTTTTTAAAGTTCTTTATATATATTCTAGATAGTAGACCTTTGTCTGAGGAACAGCTGGTGAAAAGTTTTTCCCACAGTGTGAGTTGTCTCTTCACACTGTGCAGAAGGTTTTTAATAAGAAGAGATCCCACTTATTGATTGTTTGTGCTAGTTCATGGCCAACTGAGGTTTTGTTCATAAAATCCTTCCCTACACCATTAAGATTTTTATTTTTTAAGTTTAGAGTTTTGAAACGACCATCTATGTAGGCAGCACTTTCTTTGTATGAGACATAGTAGGTATTAAGAATTTCAACAAAATTTCTGTTCTCTATGAACTATTTTATTTCATCTTGTTTGCACGAACTTATTAGTTTGCACAATACTTTTAAGACTATATTTTGTAAAAATCCTTTAGGAAATTCTGCTTGAGACCACAGCATAGGCAGATTAAGAAACCGAGTCAATGCAAGCAAAGAGTTATGTAAAATCAGATGAGTAGGGGTCCAGGGATTTAGTTTGGTGGTTCTGCCACCTGCTTCACAAGTGCAAGGTCCTGAGTTCCATCCTCAGTACAAAAACACAAAACAAAACAACAACAACAACAAAAAAAACCCAAACCAAAACAAAATCAGATGAATAGGGCAATAGCCAGGTGGTTCGACTGTGGTTTGGCCCCAGCAACACTTGCCTTGAGCCTTGGTTCCTACCACCAGAGTTAGTAGGGACAGCCCTGTGGAAGTCTTTGGGTTACAAGGGCAGAGCCTTCAGAGAGAGATTCATGCCTTTCCCCCATTAGTGAATTTCCACTCTCATGGGCCCTGTTTGGTTACTGAAAGATGGATTGTTATCAGGTGAGGATGCCCTGTGCTTTGCCTCTTTTGCATGGGCCTGTTTGCCCTTCTGCTTCCCAGCATGACTTGAAGCAGTACCAGGCCTTTACCAGATGCCAAGCAGATGCCAAACAGATGCCAGTACTGTGCTCTTGGACTTTCCAGCCACCAGAACTGAAAGCCAAAGTAAACCTTTACTGTTTATAAATCACTCAGTCTCCTTGATTCTAATCAGCAACAGAACATGGTTGAGCCCAGCCAGCATCTGTTGGAAACCTGGAGTCAAAAGGCTGAAGATAGAAGAGGAAAGAGGACTCAGGAGTTGGGTAAAATGCTGGGAACGAGACATGGTCTGATGGACTAAGGGTGTCAGTGCCAGCCTGCTTTCTAAAGACATTTGCTTCTTTCTTATTTTCTGGGCGGCTCAATGCTAGTGTCTGGCAGGAACCAGCTGGGTTTATACACACATGCACACACATTTTTTAAAGTTTTTTTTTTTTAATGTAAAGATGTTTCCTTGTCTGTACCAGTTTGGGGATAAGACATATGGTCACAGCCATGCTCACAATATGTTTATCAAGCATTTGGGGATGTAGCACTTCCTTTTAAATCACTATGGATGACTTTATGTGTTGCCCTGTGCTACCTAGTCTTATCTGGTGACTTTAAGAATGACTCCTTTACGCCTTCCTGTTTCAGCTCACAGTGGCCACACTTGCAGACTTCCATTGTGGACAGATGCCTATGTCAACGATGCCGCTGCCATTTCTGCTTGTTGTTCTGCCCCACGAATGAGACTGATGTTGCCACCACAGCCTGATGTCCCTGTCCATATCCCCGTCTCTAAACGGGTGGCCATTCCCAGTGCATTGCATCTTTTAATACTTTTTCTGCTTTGGCTTCTTCTTTCAAGACGTGAGCATTCATCTGTGAAGCTGTTTTGAAGCTCAGGATCCATCCCTCATAATCACCTTGACTCATGGACTAAGAACAGCATTGCCTTTCTGAGACACATCAGCCATGCTCCTAGATTTCCTTCACACCCTGTTATTTAGAAACTATCTTACTTATCTGAGCCATGGTCTTGGTTCAGGCCATTTACAAAAGAATGGGTTGTTCTCAACTTGCCATTTATAAATTTCAGGTAAATTCTGAAAATTGTCAGACCAGTTATTTAGAATTTGGGCCTTATATCCCATAGCTACAAAATCACACATAATGGCAAAGCTCCCAGGCCAGCCCACAAAAGCCTACTTATCCAGAATTGAAGCAAAAAAGCCCCACAGTCTAACCACGAGTACCAGTGGGTTTCCACTGGAATGTGTCTTATACCCACTGGGAAGCCGAGGAGGCAGGGTGAAATGAATCCCGAGGTTACAGCTATTTCATTGTGGGGATTCTGCAGCTGGGTATCAGTAAACCAGGCCCTCGAGAGTGGAGATGTTCACTGAGTGATTTATCAAGTCCTGGGACGTTCCGAAGGAATTTGTATAACTATAATTTAGTTCCACAGACCTAAAGCTTTGATTTAATACCTTCTACCTAAGCACTGTAATGTTTGTGTTCTTGGGATAGGGCTGAAAATCCTAAATCAGAGAGGACGCAGGCTGGGTTCAGGTGGCACTGGTGTCTGGAGACGGGCTGTGGACGGGCACACGTGTAGTAGCTGCGGTTCTGGCAGAGGCAGTGCACTTAGCTCCCTGGGCTGGGGAACAGCATTGTGACCATGATTAAATCATGCCGTTTGTTTTTAAAGAAAGCTTTCTTCCACCTATTTGTCCTTCTTTGCTATCCTTCTTGGTCTCACGCCGATCAGGAAAATAGGTTAGTATGTAATACGAGGGATACACTTGAGAACTTGTATTTATTTATTTTCGAGACAGATCTTGTGATGCTGTCCAGAGTGGCCTTGAGCAAGCACCAGAGCCTCCTGAGTAGCTGGGACTGCAGGTATGCACCACTGTGCCTGCTAGAGAGACTGTCGTTAAGAGAGGCCAGAGGCCAAAGAAGATTCCCGACTACAGGGAGAGAGTACAGGGTCAGGCACTACTACGTGCTTATTACTGTTCTCTATCTTTTAATTTATGTGTCTCGATTCTCATAAAAAATCATAGTAAATGGGTGCATTCGGGGGGTGGAAATGGAAGCCTGGGAAAACTGCTGACCCTCCAGTCCTGCTTTGTTCTTGTACCTCCGGTTACTGAAACAGAGCTTTTCCGTGTCACTGCCCCAGAAATAAATGTATGCTACTCACTTTTTTTTTTCACCCAGAAAAAAGAAGCCTCACAAAGCAAAGATGACCCATTTTCCGTGAGGTAAGGAGATCAGAGCACAGAGCAGATTTAGCATAGCTTTCTGACACCAGTCATGCCGATGAGAAGAGTCAGTTAGCAGGCAGCCCTGAAAGCCAGGAAGCGCTCGTGAAATGGACAGAGTAGCCCAGCACTCGAGCAAGAAGCACACCTACTCGTTGCACTTGGTGTGGAGCCTGGTTCAAAGCCACAAGGAAGGGCACAGACACCATTTTCCGTGTCTGAAGGAGAAAGAGGAAAAAAAAAAGTCCTGTGCTACAGAAAAAGTTCAGGCTTTTAATATGACAAATATAGGAACCATAACGACTACCCTGACAGCATGAAAGTGTAAACCCAACCACAAAATCATACAGAAACCGAAATACAGAAAAGAGCCATGTTTCCTGGTAGCAGACCACACCAGCTCGGCTGTTGCTTGTTCTCTTCCACAGCCCCCTCCTGGCTCCCGGTTCTCGGCTGCGTTAAAATCGCCCCCTAGTGGAAGCCAGGGGCGTTTCCTCGTCAATGCTCTGCTGCTTCAGAACAATGGAAAAATCTCCGCTGTTTTGTTTGTTTTAGTTGAAACTGCAAAACCCACATTTTAATGGAATGCAGGCCATACTAGCACATTTTACCTTCCTCTCGTGTTTATGAGGAAGAAATTCTACCGAAGGACTCACCTGGAAAGAACAAGTGTTTGAACCTCACCATTCAGACCCGTACATGTATTAGTCTCTCTCCATTCCTCTCTTCCAATGAGGCCCAACAACAACGTGTTTTCAGGTTGTAATGGCTACAGTACACTGTCCTTCGTCAGAAAGATCCATTCTAACACTTGCCAAAACCTGATTTATCTGGGCACTATTTTAGCATTCTGCCATTTGCTTTCTGCTTTCGGGTTACACAACGCGCCCTTGAGGGTCCCTTGATGAGATCTACCAAGTGAGATCTTCATGTGACTTCCTCCCTCCCTTATTTTACTAACACCTTAGCAACCTGACCCAAATATGGTGAGCCACTTCCTCCAACTCAGAGTAGCACCTGACTCCTATGAAAAGGAACTGGACATGTTCCCATGATGTCAAGCTGGCCAGCAGCCATGTAGGAGCAGCCTTCAGAGAGAGCTGGCTGCCTCCCCCTGAGATGTGTTGGACAGAGCAGAGGGCACAGGCTTCTCTGCAAGCAAACACCCACTTCCTTTCTGGAGCGATTCCACTCTTGACTGTTAACTTGGGCCCTTTCCAGGGGTCAGATATTCTGTGCTAAGGTAAATCTCAAAAAGTGGCGATGGAAAAATTACATACGCTTTCCAGGCTGAACACTTCTTGCATTACAGATCCCCAGACTGGTGCATGCTTTGAATTCAAAATTAATGGAGCCTTGGATATTACAAAACAGGAAAATTACCATGGAGAAAAGGGCATTTGAAGAAATAACTGAAAATCTTATGGGGAGCTTTTCTTTCCATCAATGTGTTGGCGTCAGAGTGGGAGACCTCAGTTGAAAAGAAGGCCATCACACGGTGATTTGACACGGTCTCCAGCTCTCACAGAAGGAAAAATTCTTGTGTTGCATGGGTTTGTGCAAGTGCAATATTTCTCAAAAGAAAGAAATAATGAAAGTTGACATCCATACTTTTCAGACACTGCATTTTGAGAATTTGCAGATATAGAAGTTGAGCATTCTGAAATTGGGGTGTTAGCTTGTATATAGAAGGTGCATCCAGTCTGGGAAAACTTGAGGGAGGACAAGGGAGCTGGAGATAGAGCAAGATGTTTGGGAAGTGAAGCATGGGGGAGACCAGGATTGGGAGACCCACCTTGGTCCTTCTAACAAGGGCTTCCCAGAACCTGGGGCACAGGATTAGCCCCAGACTTCATTGTACTAAATAGCTCTGTGCTGGTAGGGAGTGGGAGGACAGGGCAGGGCCCTCAGCATGGCTGGCTTGTGAAGTTATCTAGGGTTCCCATGGCAGAGATGAAAATCCTACCCGCACTCAAGGAACAGCAGAATTAGGAAAGCACAAAGAGGTAAGCAAGAAACCAAGGCCACTGAATCATGCTGTTTGCCAGGAGTAGATGTGATGTCTGAAGTGCTGAGCTAACAGTCACACCTGGGATTAGTAGGTCTGAGGATGAGCAGGAAGCAGATACTGACCAACCACTCAGATCGGGCATCAGAGCCCACAAAGGCTCAGGCGTGCCAGCTGCACCCCTACACTGTGGCGGTGTCAGCCAAACTTTCCTTCAGGTGTGGCAAGAGCAGTGCAGCTTATTAGAGCTGGTACCAGCTCTGCACCAGAGCTGGTTCTAAGTCTTTACTTGAACTCTCCAGTACATGTGGGAACTGATGAGCTCATCCAGACTAGCTCATTCTTTCCTTACCTTGCGGTATCTCCTGAATGCGAGGCAGAATAGAGACCTTTCAATGTCTGGAAGAGGAGAAAGAAGAAATTGAGCTGGCCCAGTTGGTCCTGTGATTTCTGTTTTATTGATCAAACTGTTAAGGCTTGGTTCTGATTGCTTTGGCTGAGTCACAATATTGTTAGTTTCAGAAGCCTAGAAGAGGAGGGAGGGGTGTAAAACCCACTTGGCCTTGGTAGTTGGCACCAACCCTGGAGAGGCTCCCTGCTCTGGTGGGTTTTAACAGATAGGTCTCTTCATCCACCCACTCTACTGCTTTGATTACAAGGTAATTATACAAGTTTATATGCTCCTAAAGGGCAAGGGCCATGTGATATAATCCCTTTCGTCCAGTTTGACATTGTATGTTAGTCACTAAATTTGGTATGCTTTGGATCTTGAGTGCTCCTCACCAAAGGCTTATGGGAAAAGAGCATTGTCATTAGCCTGTAGTGTTATTGGGAGGTGGTGGAGCCTTTAAGAGGTGGGGCCTAGGGATAGAAAGTTAGGTCATTAGGAGGTGTTCCCTTGAAGGGGCTACTGGGACCTGGGAACCTTCTTTCTTCTCACTTTCTTTGCTTCCTGGATGCCATGAGAACAGGTTCCCTTTGCTCTTCTACCATGATGTACTGACTTGCTACAGGTCTAAAAGGCAACAGGGCAAAGTGGCCATGAATTGGAACCTCTGAAATCACGAGACAAAATAAATCTTTCCTTCTTATAAGTTGGTTATCTTGGATATTTTGTCACAGCAACAGAAACCTGCTAATAGGAGCTTCAAAAGTGATTACTCTGATCTGAGGGGTAATGAACTTTGAAGACTTACTATGGAAAATGTAGCATGTCTCATTAGTATGCTTTTATGTTCATTATGTGTTAGAATAATGATATTTTAGCTAAATAAAATATGTTAAAATTAGTTTCTATTTTTTCAAATATGGCTACTCAAAAAAATTGAAAACTTTATATGAGGCATTGTATTTGTCTGGGCAGGACAGTTTTATACCTTCCCTGGTGACAAATACAAAACAACACTATGTTGTTTGGATAATAAACCCACTTTGGTGACAAATGAATCCATACATATAAAAAGATGATCTCAGAAGCTCTGAGATCCCAACCCAATTAAAGCTGACTTTTATCTCTTCTTTTCATAGTCGGTTAGGAAAGAAATTACTCAGAGGAAGACCTTAATATGTTCTATGAACTGAGAGTCTTGTCTCAGACCCAGAATGTCTGTCCACTCATTCTTGAAAAGTTGACAGTCCAACAGCAGACTTCTGGGGGCTGTCTAGGTGATGCAGTGATCCTTTTTGAACGCACAAAAATGTTTCTGAGTGTTTCTAGCTCCTGTCCTTGTTTCCCCAAAAGGCTAGTTTCAATCTCGAATCACTCAGGTTACATTGTAAAACTAAATCCTCTGCCTGGCCCCGTGTCTACACAGGGACCTGGTTAGCCTGGGAGAGTCAGACTCTGAGGTACCGGTTCCTGCTGTTACTCTTAGCACTTAGGAAGTCCTCGTTCTTACCCTGAAGATGTGTTTTGTTGTGTCACTTCACATTTAGCTGGGGTTACAGGTCACAGACAAACGTATGTGCTTATGCCCAGTCTTTATAGAATGCCAGGTCTAATTGTCAAAGTTGGCCTCCATTTCAGACCAGAACGCACAAGCTTTTGTCCAAGACCTAAGAAGTTTAAACTGAACACAGTCAGCTGAGTTTCCACCGTACACTTTGATGACTTCAGCTCTAATCTCTCACTGGTGTAGCCTTGTCAGCTACTACCAGTTATGCCTAGTTTCTTTATGGACAGTGTTACAAACTTGTTCCACTGCCAGGACAGGATAGCCCTTTTCTTTGCTGTCATCTTCACGTTCCCTTCATAATCTCTAGTATTAAGCTTCCAAAGCACATAACCCACTGCCCTCCCTCTCTGCTCCTCATACCTCACATCCGGCCTCCATTTTCTCCCTCAGTGGAC